GGGAAGGGAAGGGAAGGGAAGGGAAGGGAAGGGAAGGGAAGGAAAGACACCAAGCCTTGATGATACTTATCAAACTCTAAAGGGTTTCTGGAGAAAGAGGGTAGACTTTATTTGTTCATTTATTTTTATCTACTTATCTTTTTTTTTTTTTTTTAAACCAGTGCTAGGGGTTGAGCCTGGGACCTTGTATAAGCTAGGCACATACACGTGTCTAGTGACACATCTATATTTTCAATCACTGTTGGCTTTTAAAACCAAACTGCAAAAGCATCATACTCAGAGCTTAAGTCACAGGACAGAACAATGAGATTTTTGTCCTCTTAAACACTCAGTTTCAGGGATGCCTGCTGAGGTGCAGCTCAGAAATCAGAAGAGGGGAAGGGGCTCCTGGAAACCCCAAGCCACATTTCCAGAGGCAGTCACTGTGTTTTTTCTTTCCGGACCTTGCACCCCCATCTCTCCACTAAACAACACTCCCTTTGGGAATGGTCTGCCTTTGTTTAAATGTCCCACCTATTTCCTCAGTCCCTCAGGATCTCTTTTAAAAATGCCAAGCGCAAATGCCCCTAGCCCCATCCACTGCAGTGGGAGCAGACACAGGTGTGGTCAGGTTCTTCCACGGGACTCCTTGAAGAAACAGAGATGGGGGTGGGTGGCTTCTGAGCACTTTGACTTTGATCATGGTGGAGAAGGTATCCTGTAAGCTAAGGAAAGAAGAACGTATAGCACGAAGCTAGGAGAGTGATCTGGGTGTCTGGGTCTTATTTTTAGGACCCTTGGATCCATTTTTCTTTCTAAAAGATTTATTTATTTATATGTATTGAGCACAATGTAGCTGTCTTCAGACACACCAGAAGAGGACACTGAACTCCATTACAGATGGTTGTGAGTCACTCTGTGGATGCTGGGAATTGAATTCAGGACCTCTAGAAGAACAGTGTTCTTAACCACTGCGTCATCCCTCCTTCCCCATCCCCTAATCCACTCTAAATTGGCCTGCCTTCCTAGAGGTGAGAGGAAAGGGCATTGAAATATTTACCTTTCTAGTACAAGGTAGACATTTGTTACTTGCAACCAAAAGATTTCCGTGCATCTAGTACTTGGTCAACTTGGAAGGAAGCAAAGCTGTCTGTGGTCAAATGAATCTGAAGTGCTATAATTCACAGCCTCCTTTCAGAGGTCCACAGTGTATATGAACATCTTAAAGATTCTAAGGGCTGGGCGGTGGTGGCGCACGCCTTTAATCCCAGCACTTGGGAGGCAGAGGCAGGTGGATTTCTGAGTTTGAGAGTTCGAGGCTAGCCTGGTCTACAGAGTGAGTTCCAGGACAGCCAGGGCTACACAGAGAAACCCTGTCTCGAAAAACCAAAAAAAAAAAAAAAAGATTCTAAGGGGTTCCACAGGAACTAACTTATTGAATTTTATTTTTATTTACTTAATTATTTAGAGACAGAGTCTTATTATGTAACCCAGGCAGGCCTAAAATTTGTGGGGTTTCTGTCTCTGTTTTCTGTATGACTGTATGATTACAGCTATATACCACCATGGTCAAGTTCATTTCTTGAACTTTAACTCGGAGCACTCAACAGTCTCTTGAGCACCTGTGTTTGTGGTCCCCCTGGTAATGTCCCATTGAGCTGGGGATGCAGGCACACACTTTGGAAGGCCGTTAGCATGAGAGCTCCTTCCTTCTGCTCTTGCTTGCTCAATCTAGAGGAGGATCCAAATCCTCAGAATAAGAATCCCTTTGGTGGCTCTGGCTTTGTGATTGGGAGGGTGGCATTCCTCAGGTCAGATGCATGGTTTGAGAGCTGGATATGTCTCTTTGGGGTATTCTTGCCATCACAAGGGAGTGGTGGGAATGGCACTAGAGTCTGTCACTAGAAGAAACCCTGCAGTCCCTGAAGCTGACTGCTGATCATCATTTCCCTCACATGGCCCAGAAAGAGATCTCCTCTGTCCCTCCACTTCACTGGGGCAACCAGAGACACAGAAATCTTCTCATGAGCCAACCAATTCACCCCCACAGACCTTGCTGCAGCAGAACATTCGATGAGTGTCTTCTCTCGCTGACAGACTGGGAAAGAATTATTTCCACTGGCTGTTGATTCATCCAACCACCCAAGAAACATTTATCTAAAGCCTGCTATGGACCAGAAAGTGAGCTGGGGAACATCTTTCTCCTCTGAGCTGCTCACAGGTTAGGATGACACACACTGGTACCATGGCTGGAGGCTGTCAACGTGAGAGACACCTAGGAATGGCTCCCACCGTTGGAATGGCACACAGCCTTCTTGTGTGCACATTCTCATATGTATATGTACATGTATGTGTACCCCCTCCCTTCAAAAAATCCTCCCAGTGGGATTTTGAAAGTTAGTTTTGGAGTTTCTGAAAGACACGTCTCTGAACCTGGTGCTCTTCTTGAAATCTTTGGTCTTCTGTTACATGGCTACAGCCTTTTCCTGGCTTTGTCTGCTTCCTCAGCTGCTACATTTCTCCCAGTGGTTATCTGGGTTTATTCAATTGTATCCAAAGATAAACCATAAAGGATGCCCCAGTAGCCAAGACCCTGAATGGTCTGGCCTGCACGTGAATACTGAGGTGGAAATCTCCCTTCACTTTAGCTGACAGACGGTAAAATGAGCAGAGAATGCCTGCCTCTAATCCCACTCAAGAGGCTGAGACAGGAGGATGGTGAGCTTGAAGCTACAGAGCAAAGACCCTTTTCAAATGCAAACAACTATGGGAGAGAGGAGCAACACTCACTCACTAACAGAGGTGCCGGCTGGCATCTTTTCTTGAAATCACAACGATTGGCTTCTCAGCAAATCATCACACTTACAGGAAGATGCTGCTTACATCCTTGCTTTAGAGCCAGGGCTTCAGAGGTTCAATATCTGGGACCACAGAGCAAGAATCTGAATATACCTGCTACTGTCTGTTCCCAGAGCTGGGACAGGTCACCTCAACAATGAAGTGTAAAAGGAGGCAGAGAAAGCTGCCACTGGGTCCCCACTTTAGAGGAGGCCACTGCTACAGCACTGGGGATTGACAGTTCCCCGCCCTGCTTGCAGGGCTCAGCCTCCATTTGAGCATCTAGGGAGCACCCATCTGTAGGGCAGGAGCAGGATGCACCTTTGGATCTGATGAGTTTCGAACTCTATCCTCTTCAGAGGAAGGCTCCTCATTCATGTTTAATCTCTTCCCTTGAATGCATGGTTTTGTATATTCACTCAAGAATCCCAGTATGAAAGGAGTGAAATTTTTATAAAAGGGTCTTGAATGTTTTAAGATTTATTTGTATTACTTATAATTGTGTATGAGAGGGGAGTCTGTATGTGTCCATGTGCAGGTATATGGATGCCCATGGAGGTATCTTTTCTTCCTGGAGTTGGAGTTACCGGCAGTTGTGAGCTGCCCAATGTGGGACTATGTTGTTGGGGACTAAACTCAGGCCCTTTGGAAAAGCACGCCTAACTGCCAAACCATCTATCTATGCCAGGGTCTTAAAATTTTAAAATCACGCCGGGCGGTGGTGGCGCACGCCTTTAATCCCAGCACTTGGGAGGCAGAGGCAGGCGGATTTCTGAGTTCGAGGCCAGCCTGGTCTACCAACTGAGTTCCAGGACAGCCAGAACTACACAGAGAAACCCTGTCTTGAAAAACCAAAAAAAAAAAAAAAAAAATTTTAAAATCACTACCCAGTTCTTACTTGCCTGGGCAAGTGTCATCCTCTGACACCCGCAGTCAGCTCCCTTCTCACCACACAGTATCTGTGCTGAATAACCCTATGCCACTTGATCGAGATTTCTTTCAAGTAACTCTGGAAATATATCAATTCATCTAGCAGCTCAAGCAGACACAACTGATAGAAGGAGAGGAGGCAGGTCAAAGATCTCTGCTGTATCGAAAGGCAAAGGGAATGGAACAAGGCCTCGGATCTGTCTCTGGAGGAATCCCAGCGTCAGGCCTTTCCTCTGTCAGCAGCCCAGCTCCTCTGCTGGCACAGCACTGGTCTCACAGCAGAAACTGGTCTTGGCAGAGTTCAAAGCAAAGCAACAGGGCAGGGATATCGCTCAGTACTGGAGTGCAGGTTGGCGTGGGTTTAACCCTTCCTCTATCAACATAACAGTAATTACAGCCATTCTCCTCACTGTCATTATCATCAAGTAAAAGCAACAAAGCAGACCACACAGGTGGCATA